GCGACCCTGCCTCTCATCTTGAATATAGAGCTGTTGGTATGCGTCTTGAATCGTAGTCAACTCAGTCCAGATAGTATGGAAGAGAGTGGTGCTTTGAGTTGTGAGGAGGGATGGCAACACGGATCGAACTTTCATAATGGTCTGAATTCGAGTATTAGCAGCATTCCTTCCTATAGATTGTTGCTTTCTTTGTTGGTACATACCTTAACAACCTGTGATTTCAAGGCAATAACACCACGCCATTGCTGTGGGCCAGGGGCATCTGTGGCCTCCTCTTCCTCCGAGGGCATAGGAGGGAGGGGTTCCTTGATGGTAGCAATAAAGAATGGAAGCCATCCGTTCAGGGCCTCGTCCATAAACTGTTTAACCTCGTTCTTATGTTGCTCAAGGACCATCTCCAAAGTATCAAGACAGGCTCTAAAAGTGGACACAGCGAGTGCCCGCAACACCGGTTTGCGCGAGGCGTTGGTCGCAACGTTGAACACGGTCGACACAAGCTCTCTAGCCACCTTGAAGAACTGCTCTTCATTGAATCCAGTCTCCACGAGGTCAGACAGGACCTTCAAGGCACCGTGGAGTTGTGCATCTGTGCTGTTGGGAATGATCTGTAGCAAGGTGGGAAGAATCTCGGGCCAGTCCTCTGGGAAGTCGGCGCTGGCAATACGGCTGACGACCAAGCTGGCTGAGTTCTTGACCTTGCGGTCATCCTGCTCCGGAGATGTAGCTAGATCAAGCAGAACGCGCCTGAGATGTGCCTTATTCGCGTCGCTGACCAGGACCTGGCCCTTGAAATCGTCGAGCTGTGAGGACCATGCTGAATTGATGAACGTACGAAGGAGGACAAGGGCGGATTGGCGCAGGGGAGCAGGAACCGAGCTATGAGATGCTATCGAGGCGAGGGATAGGGGGAAGCTTTCGTTCGAGTAGAGGCTCTGCAGGCGAACCTCCGCGGCCTTTCGAGTCTCCGCCGCGGCGCTCTGGGTATCGGAGAGAAGCCGGATGAGCTCTTGATCCATGATGAATCCCGATCTACCGGTTAGCGAGCAAGCTGAGGGAGGGAAAAGGTCGCGTTGACCTTGGGATGGTTGTGAGCCGCGATGTTGTTTGGTTTCGCGACGTTGAGGTTGAAATATTTACCTAAAATAATTAGTTAGTTAGTTAGTTTCCCTTTTTGGCGGGGCAGTTGGGTAGCTAACTAGCTAGTGAAGTTACTACAACAGAGGCAGAGAGAGTGGTAAATGCATGAATGAATGAACAAAGAGGATATTCGATAGTGAGAGAAGAAGAGAAACTACAGTGAACATATAGAAATGTCACTTTATAGTTACATGGATGTCTGCTTTGGCTGCTAATTGGGGTGTTCAATTTCATGCAGACGCGACCTCGAGGCCTACCAATATCACGACACCCGGAGCAAATAGAAAGGATTTCTCTATATCTTGCATAGAAACTTCATGAGAAGCTATATAATTATATTCTTTTACTTGTTATCTCAACTCGATATGCAGTTGTAGATATCAATATGGATGCCAACACCAAAGCAGGGCCAGGTATGTAGTTACACCTCATGACATCCAGAATATATGCCTACCAAGGCCAGAGCTCACTTCTATCCCCCTGAAACCTTCGTCTTTCTGTGTTTTACCTCATTTTTCTTCGTCTTATAGGTACTTTTATCATATTTATCATACACAAAGCTGATACCGATGGCGATGTTCGCTATTCGCTGGAAGAAGGTAAAATTCTATTGGCCAGAGCACCGCGTTAATTGCTTTATCGAAAATATTTTCATTTGTATTGGTGGAAAATATGAATTCCGAAGATATGCAGCCCTTTTAACCAATGAACGCCACTTTTGTTGCATTGACTTGATTTCGAGATTTGTGATTTGCTAGCTAATAATACCAGGTGCGGAATAATAACCTTACTGCTGCAGTCACCTGATGCCTCTAACTCCAGTTAATTTCTTTTAAGCGCCGGCTCCACCAGCAAAACCACAACCTGCATATCAGGAGGTACATGAACACGATGAACTGGAAAGCTGATTCCATCCCGCAATCTGATGAGTATAAAGTCAAGGATAAGTGCTTATTTTCGAACGGCTCATGCCTCGGACTTGGCCATATTAACTATTGTATATTCCGGGCGCAAGAATACTAATAGTTAATAAAGGTATACAGCGCAACGGGAGCAACCATTCTCTGTACGCAGTACATTGGTGGCTGATGACAGGCTTCGGACTATTAACTGCCAGAATGCTCCTTCGCTATTCCAGAAAGCCATCTTGTGTGTCCAAGGAATGCACCTGGACGACAACTAACTCCGTATTCGTTTCAAGCGAGTGATGTCTAAAACCTACAGCAAGCCACCGCCAGCCACCAGATCGCACTAGTTATGCACGAGAAGTGTGCCTCGATGATCTTCCCTACAACAATATATGTCGATGATAGCTTGATTCTATGCAGAGAGGGCATCACGGATCGCTCCTCCAGCAGTGCTTCTGAACTGTCAACACAAGCCTACGATCTCCGTGGTTAAAATATGTTAAGTTGGCAGGTTAGCTATGGCTTATTCATCCCTGCCATTCACTCTAAGCTAACTAATCCTTGTGAACTGCTAGTTACCCCGTACTTAAGTAGTTGTATGCGTGGGGGAAACACCACGGTAAGCTAGCCCCTATTGCGGGGGTAGTTGTCCAGCCTGGTTGGTGCCGTGATCTCGGAACAACTATGGATGTCAATCTCAGCCAGGAATGGCAGCATAACTATTCACTGGTTAGCGACGGCGGCCAACTATAGGCTCTTGAGTGATGGCAAGACTTGCCCGGGGAATGAACACCAGAATTGAGCAGTCTCGAAAAGAACGGGATGAGAACCGGAGATGGAGGGGATGATCCCTTGTCCTCCGATAATGAACAGACCCTCGATGGCGAAAAATGGCCTCCTCATCCCATACGGAGTATGTCTCGAACAATTTCAAGACGGATCAGCAAAGGACACCTCGAGTCAGTCCTATGCCGATCTCATCCATGAATCCTCCGATTAACTAGGTATACTCAGAGGCCCAAGTGCCTGCCATCAATATTTTTTATTTTTTTTCATTTTTTTACCCCCTACATAATTTGACTGTGTCTCGCAATGTTTTTATGAATTCTTCTCTTATCGCGCTTTGCGATGTTTCATTGACGACTTGCAGCATTCCTGCCGACACCCTCGTTGAGACCCGGTATCTGACAGCATACAATGCAGCTCCCTCCAGCCTCAGTGATACTTTCCTGGCCCCGGCCCAATTATGAGAATCCATCGGAAGTTCGTGGGCCACTCGTGATTATACTCAACTCGATATTTGCATCGTTGATGCTTTTCGTTATTTTCATCCGCATATTCAGCCGCATCCACGTATCGAAGAGCTTCGGTTGGGACGATGTCTTCATAATAGCCGCCGTGATCCCGACACTTGGCTGTGGGACCATTACGATCCTGGGCTCCATCAAGTACGGCTGGACTCGACATGTCTACGACGTGCCATTTGCGCATCTTGTCATAGGATTAAAATTGACCATGTTGATAGAGTGCCTGTTTGCTGTTAGCTGCTCATTCACCAAACTCTCGCTGCTATGTTTCACCCATAAGATCACATCAGGTCTCAACTCGCGCGTTATGAGAATCCTCATCATCGCGAACGCAACCATCGTCACACTGGAGATGATAGTCTTTTGCATAGTAGCTGTGTTCACCTGCCGGTATGTGTTTACCCGTCTCCTATGATACAGAGTGTCACTCTGCTAACTCCGCTGCTGCTTGCAGCCCCGTCTCTGCCTATTGGACACTCTCGACCCAGCCGCAAGAATGCATAAATGAAACTGCGCATCTCCTGGGCGGCGGTATACTAAACACCCTCACTGATGTCAGCGTGGTGTTTTTGCCGTTTCCTACCGTCATGTCCCTCAAGCTACCTACCAGACAGCGGGTCATGCTCTGCGTCCTGTTCGGTGCTGGTTTCATTGTCTGCATTGCCGGGTGCTTCAGAGCTTACTTCCTCCACAAGCTAAACACTTCATACGATAAGACGTGGGCCGGCTATCCCCTCTGGATCTCTGGAACGATTGAGATGTATCTCGGCGTGGTATGTTCCAGTCGATGTTCAAGTATATTTATAGGCGCAGCTAACTAACAGCTTCCTAGATCGCCGCCTCGTTGGCATCTCTCAAGCCGTTTATCGTGCGCTACTTCCCTGCTCTCCTCGGCTCCCTTTCGGCGAAGAAGACTGGACCAACGTCCTTCTCGTTCTTGAACTCGTTTGTGCTGAGAATCAGCGCACCCCGTCCCGTAGAGGAGGACAAGAACAAGAGCAAGCCCAAGATTTTCGACAGCCAGACCGAAACTATAACATCTACCATCGACTGCGATATCGAGTTTGAAGCACTAAACCCCCCGAATGGGGGGAAGGAAGAAACCCAACCTATTGGACAGCATGAGAGCGGTCATATGTCGAAGTCCACTTTCCACTCCGCTGACGCAACGTGGCAGCAGAGTTGAAGAGAAAGGAAAATGTAGGGGTTTGATACCAGGCGTTGGTTTTGACTATTTTCTAAAAGTCCCGAGCGATCTATATCACTTTTGTATTTACTTTAGCATTGGGGATGGCTTCAGGGTTGGGGAACGGCCAGAGAAGGGTTTCCTTCTAGTTACTATTATTTTCGATGTCTTTATTACTTGAATGAACATATTATATGGTTTCCGAGGAATGTATCTCCGCGTACCTGGCAGCTTTGATTCATATATGATTCCACAATCGGGCGTCAAACTCGAACTAAAAATAATAGCGATGGTAGCACAATAGCTAGTTAACTCATGGATGTTCGTTAGTTGGTTCGTTAGGCTAAAGTCAAATGTTGGGGGATGGTCGCAAATTCACAACTTCCGAGATATCAAAACGAAACAACATCTCAAGGACAGCAGTATTTATTACTCGGCGGCCATTAGAGCAGGACAGGGACAATGGCAGAGTCAAGTCGCCCTCCAGAGACCTACGCTGCTCTAGCTTCGGCTTTCTCCTCGTTTCTCGCCGTCAGCATACACCAGATTCTCTACCTGCGGTCCATATACCCCCAGTCCACCTTCTTGTCCGTCAGGCAGTTCAACCAGCCAGTCCGCCAGTCACGGCATCCCAAGGTGTGCAGCTGGGTCAACGATGCCTGTGCCGCGGTCGAGACACAGCTGATCAAGTCAACCGTCACCTCAGTGGCGATAGTCATACTCTCGGTATCATCCAATAAGGCCGTGGAGAAGTTCACCTTTGACCTCTCTCAGATCCCCCAAGTCGCCCCAGGAGACATACATACTCCATTTGCGAGCTCCAGGCAACAGCAGCAGAGAGAAGGCATGAGTATACCGCAAGTCGATCTAGAGGCGCAGTTTCGTGCCGTGTTGCACCGGCTAACCGCAGCCTGTGGGAGGTTGGCCCCTTTACCTCCGGATGAGGAGTATTTGCCTACTCTACATATGGTCTTAGGCCCGGACGCCGATGCACCGGCCGGTATGGACAAAGATGACCAGCAGTGGATAGCTGCTGAACCGGAACCTGAGCGTATCAGATACGGACCGGGCTGTTCTCAGGCGAAGACAGTGCCTGTACGAGCCATTGACGCAGGGGAGATGAAGCTCGAGGTCTGGATTGAAGAAGCTAGGGACAAGTTTGATGTCGATAACCGCTCTCGATAGCTACCCCCCAACACACGCGCGAAATAGTCGGAGATATTCATACTGCTCGCGATATAAGATGTAACCAAACTCACATCTAAGAAGCCTTGTGACATAAGCTACGTAGAAACCCCAGCCTGGAGGAAGCGAAATATGTTACACTGTGTGGAAGAAACCGCATACGAGAAATGAACTGAACCATAGCATATTTTATTAGACTAAAGGAGTAGAAAAAGTGAGTAACGACATCAAGGAGGCCGACTACTGTTAGGACGCGGAGATATGGATAGGAGGAACAGCAAGAGAAATCAGCTCGAATCAAAAAGGAACCAAAATTCACAAAACGACCATTCTACTTTGTACGAGATGGTTGTGCTCTGCGCAGACCCTTGAACCAATGAGGATTTTGTTCCCTCTCATATCGAACAACTGGGAGATCCGGTGGTAGCGGATACGGTGCATATGCGTTAAATGAAAACCACTGCGTCTGCTGGTAATGACTGTCCTGAGGATTCTGAGATGGTGCTGGCAATACGCCAATTGTTTCTATAGCTTGGTACTCATAATTGATGGGCAGTTGGGTGTCTTGATTTGCTGGTGGGAATCGTACGCGTAGCTGTGGCCAACGTTGCAACTGACGGTCAGGCCGACCTGATACACGCTCTCCAAACACCCATAGCGGCATTTCGCTAGTGTCAGGCGTGCCTTCAGGGTATACAATCGGCAATCCGTCACGCACTGTTCGACGTTTGATGAGCTCGACACCAAGGTCTTCTTCGTTCAGCTCGGGTTTGTCCTTTAGAAGGCTCTCAACTGCCTCATTTCGTGCCGTCATCCGCTCCCGCTCATGTCTCTCTAGCAAGTAGCGGTCATCCTCTACGGGACAACTTCCCACCATATCAAAGTGGCTGTCCTTCGCCCGCGAGATATTTTTCTTGCAAACATAACACATGACTGTGGAACATTTGCGACATTTCAAGGTATTGCATCCATCCTCTTTGATAATCGGGGCTTTGCACTTCTTGTTAGGACAAATGCGAATAACGGCTTTACTCATTGCCTCTTCAACGTGCTTCCGTAAATTTTTGGAGTCTTCCCTTCGGCTCTCTGCGCAGGTTATGGGAATGTGTGAAGGTCTTTGGCACCTCCGGCAGCTCATCCTCATACATCCCGGTTTCAAACAACGGAATTCGCAGTTTTCTTCAACTGGGGGATATATCGCCTTGTACTCACAGAACGGACATTCTTCAAGGTCTGTGAGGTCCGCTTGTTGAATCTCTTCCAATTGCTGCAAGTCAAAGAGTTTGTTCATAAGAGAATCCCCCGCTGAGTTGATCAAATCCTCACGGGAGAAACCCGCATCACAACCATTAATGTCCATGCATTTGATACTGTGTCTCATCATACCAACTTGGGCTTTGGCATTGGATTTTATGCATTCCCAGCAAAATGGATGGGCTGCTGCGGCAGCACAATATACTACCCGATTAAGGGGCGTATCACTAAAGCAGCAATGGCATTCAATTATCCCACCAATGGAGGTATACTAGGCAAGATTCCTTTTTTCATCCTCGAAGGCTTGCTTCCTAAGGGTTTGAGCAACTACATGAACGTTTAGCCTTTGCAGTAAACACTTGAGTGGGGATTATTACCAATACGACGTTTCCGTTCAGCTCTAGCATCTTTGATCTCCAGGTCTATGTCCCTATTCGGGTACTTGGCTACTACTTTCCTAAAAGAAGCCATCAATTTTTCCCTTTTGACATCGGTATTTCTGCTATACGGTTTGGGATCCGATGTCTCATAAGTTGATTCAACCTCGTACAATCGCAGGTACGCATTGTACAAGCAATCATTCGTTACCTCCAAATATTCTTTTATGTAGTCCGTGGGAACCAGAGGAAAGTCGAGTTTCAAAAGAGCTTTGCTAGATGGTACGTGTCAGGTTTTAGCCAGGCGGGGAAAAAAAGAGGAAAGTTATTTAACGAGAATAAAAGAGCATACCAGCATTTCCAATACCGACTGTTTCTCGTGAGGTTGTCTTCTTTACCCCAATGGACATCCTTAGCCATATCCTCCCGCTTTTGCCTTGAACCACTTACAGTTGTGTAAGTAGCTTCCTTGAGGATTGCATCGATCAACGCTCCTTCAAAATTTTCTGGTTTCCTAGCCAACATCGGTTGGTAGAGGGTAGTGACGTATCGAGGGCATATATCTGGGAATAAAGTAAGGATATTGGCCAGCCCGGCCGCAGTCAGGCCCTGACTGGAAGTCCTCTTATCGTCTTCGCCAAGAACGAGGAGGCTCTCCAGGAATGCCATGCCATCGTCATCCCCATCTTCAGCGACACTGTTTTCACCAGGGCTGGTCAGATCATATTCATCAATAAAGTACGGGTCCTGCAGCTTCGCTTTGTCTTTTGTGAAGCCATTTGATGACTGATCTCGCCTGAGCACGGACAAAGTCAGCCTCTGAAGCGGTCTAAGGATGGTTCTAGACATATGGACAGCCAGGAGATATGACTGTGTAAATTATCGAGTTTAGTGGTGCTAAATCAGCTCCGAATACGACGACAGGCGAGATTAAGACACCGTTAGAGCTTCTATATAGCCTAATAGAGTGTCCTCGATGCTAATCAGTATCTTAATGAATGAAGTAAGCAACCAAGGCGCATAATTGGAAATATCTCGGTCCTTCAACCCAGCATATTTTCAAGTAGAAGAAGACAAAGTGGTCTATAGGAATGAGTGAGAAATATATCTCTTCGCCCTAGCATTTGCCGCCCTGATGGCAAACGTCAAGGAAATAGGGCAAGTTTGCTTATAATGATAAGCATCGCTTTTAACAGTTTGGAGGTTCCAAACTAATAGAGCAATGGTGTAATAAGGGTATCATAGAATATGGAAGACGTTGCTGCTTCATGGGCACGCTTATGGCGGTTGATATCAACCGCTTCTTCCCGAGCCCAAAGCAGGTGGGTATGCCCGTAGAGGGTCCATCCCGTGGCCGTTCAAGGTGCCTAGCTGGGGATCTCTTGCTTAGCCAGACAGATCTTGAGGATTCTGTGCTATGCCTAGCGCAACTGTTCCATCAGTGGCCATAACAATTAGCCCTCGTCTGTCCATCTTTGCAACGTTTGTTCAATATTTGATGTTTTTTCGATTGTTTTTTTTTTTTTTTTTTTTTTTTTCGGTTGGCGGTTTATGCCAAGACTTTAGATAATCAACTTGACTAAAGATAGTTAGCGTGTATTACATAAGAACCTTAAAGGCTGCTTCCTAATCTTAATGAAAGCTAAAATTTATACAAGAACGAAAAGACATCAAGACGAAATCAAGCGTGAGAAGTAGAAAAGAAGCAGGAAAACTAGCCATCTGGACATGTTTCTGGCACGCAGTCACCATGTTGGAGGCGTGAGGCTTGCATCGACACTAGTTGGCCGTTCTGGGCGGGAGTATATCCGGGGAAAGATACTAAAGCGCCATCCGAAACGACCAGACTACAATGTTTACCTCGCGCAGTAAGTAAGCTGATTTCTACTCTCTGCATTGATCCAAATGCTCACCCGGGGTCTAGATCTGGAAACCAAAGCTTTGTGCTCAAGGGAACATCGGACTCGGTAGTCGAATTGGCTATGGATCTAAAAAGAGAGTTTCCGGATACTCGTCGCCTTCGGGTACATATTGACGAGAATGTTGAGGAGAATGTTCTGGTATACGAATATTTCAATGATGACTTACTTTCCTTTATAAAGAGAAACCCAAATTTGCCAATTGGGGCGAGAAAATGGATATTGAGGGAGCTCGGGGAATCTCTCAAGGAGCTCCATGCTAAAAATTGGATACACATAGGTAAACAACGTCAAGGCACTTGGCGTTGAAAGATTCATGCTGATAACCCTGCGACTTACTTAGATGTGAAGCCTGACAATGTGATGATCAATTATAGTCGAGATGAGCAGGGCTTACCCCTGCCGCAGAGGGTTGTACTGGGTGACCTGGATGTCTCGCTGAAGATGAAAGGTGACAAGCTTCTACGGCTCCCGGAAGGCATCAAGCTCGGCAACGTAATGTGGCGTAGCCCCGAAGCTCAAACTGGCCAGGGAATTGGGAAGCCATCTGACGTGTTTTCCTATGGGCTTGTGGTTAGTATTTAATCACTGTTTACACTTGATAACTATGTTCGTGGGGGTGTATTGGGTGAGTATAATGACTGACGCTAGATGTTAGAGTCTATTCACCACAACAGGCGTGGAAACGCTGTATCCAGACTTTGAGGGGTTGAGGAAGGATGGGGTTGACCCCGAGTTGGAGATCATGGGCCGATTGATCTCATTCTTCGGGCCAGTACCGAAGGAGCTAGTGACGCACGTCCAACATGAAGACTGGGGCAAGGTAATGATGGCACTCTCAGAGGCACTGGAGGATGGCAGCCCTGTTGGCCCCGGACGGTTCACAGAGTGGCCGGAGAAGGATTATCCAAACCTTGATGGCGAGACAAAACGAATCTTCCTACGTATGTTGGATCTTGCTCCTTCAAAAAGAGTGACCATGGCAGAAGTCTTGGAGGACCAATGGTGGGGTCGTGGAGAGGAGGAGTACCAAAGTCCTCCGCTCTCTACCACTGAAACACCTTGAAAATGCAGCCCCGGGTACTCGTCACCAGGGATAGGCTGGCATGCGTCGTGGACCCGGTCAGTCTAGAAGGTATCCCCATGCCCTGCCAACCAACTAATACTCCCAAGCTTTCACCATCACCACTCGATCTTTGTACAATACGTATCATCCCCCAGCAGAAAAAACAATGCAAGTGAAACTTACCATGCAGCTTGGAGTACTAGCTGCATCGACTATGGCGTTGAAGAAGCCCGGAGTAGCCCGTTTCGCCTCCCGCCCCGGCCATTCTTTCTCCTTCCAGCCCTCAGGGAGCCAGCGGAGTGATATCATCACACAGCCAGCCAATGTCACGCCGCATCATCTTTTGCCGCCTCAACCAACAGAATCGACGTTTGGCCTCCCACAAAATGTCACTAGCGGTAATACGGGCCGTAAGGCCATCGAAGATCGAAACGAGCGCAGGAGAAAAGGGCCTGCTGGTCCTGTCACGGGACCCGCTAGTTATAACACCGAACAAAAGGAGGCTCGGCCCTATATACGACGTATTATGTGGAGAGGCCAGGTACCTGTGGCCCCATACAAAATCATGAGACATGCGAGGTACCGCTGGCTTGCGCATCTCGCAGCTTCTTGGGTTTCTCCCTCTGAGCCGAGAGAGGGATGACGATGCTCCACCAGCAGGTTAGCCGGATGTTTTCGCTTCCAGCCGGCAGTTTGGCCCTTTGTACCCATGCGGATGATGGCAAAGCCCGTATTTAACACACCCGCGGATTTCGATTAAGGCGAGGGGGAACGGAGTGGTCAAAAAAGGGCGTGGGCGGGGGCTGTTCTCGACTTGGGGACGGACTTGCTGGCTGCTGGGCTGGGGGAATTCCCCCGGCGGGAACGCTAGTATCATCAGGAATATATATATTTACACATTTTGCGTTAGGGCCATGCTCCATGCTTCGGCGTTCCCAGCCAAAGAACGTTATGCAAACAAGGGAAGTGGTGGAAATAAAATCCCGACAAGGGCTTGTTTTCTTTTCTAAGCTGCCTGGTCTTCTCAGTACTTATTTTCTTCTTGACCGGACCTCTCCCCCCTCAAGCCTGTGTGTTTATTAGTACTCCGTATACTCCCTCACACCCCCGGCTGCCTATCTGTGCAACCCGTCCAACATCAAATAAAAAGGGAGAACAAGCTTCCTGTTTGTTTCTCTCCAGACCGTCCAAAACAAGGGGTGCTGGCTTGCAGAAAAATAACTCGTCACCATCACAAAACGATACGAAGAATATCAAAAAAGAAGAAGATAGGCAAAGCAAAACAAGAAAGTGAAGAAGAAGAAGAACAAAAGGGGGGTTTTTGAAAAAATAAAAAAGGAAAAAGACTGAAAAATAAAACAAAAACAAGATTCCCAACGATAACCGCGCAACCATGGGCTCGCTCGATCATCACCTCCTAAACGCCGACTCGCCGGATATCGCTCTCGTAGTGGCCACCCCGGCAGAGAGGATCGAGAGCATAAGGGCAAATGGGCTGTCGTGGAAAGGCCCCTTGACGATGGAGCAGTACATTGCTCGCGAAGACTTCTTGATACAGCAGGACATGGTCAAGGATGGGTGGATGACATGTTGGGTCCTGGTTGACCGTCGGCTCCGGCCAGACGAGCGTCCTATCCTGAGCAGCTGCGAGTCGATTGCCAAACGAGCGTTCCTTGCATATAAGGGCAATATCGAGACGGTTATCACTCATGGAATCGGAAGTGTGTTTTGTCCGCCCGAGCACCGAGGACGCGGATACGCTAAGCGCATGATCATAGAGCTGTCCAAGATACTGGACACATGGCAGCAGGAAAGGGGTGCGGGACAGGGACACCCGCAGTGTCTCTTCTCAGTGCTGTATTCGGATATCGGCAAGTCGTTTTATGCAGCGCACGGATGGCATCCGTATGCTTCTTCCCACTTCACTTTAGCTCCGGAGGCTGTCGGAACCGCTGCCGTGAACGGGAGTGCCAATGGGAATGGGAACAGCAGCGGAAATAATGGCAGCGTCAGAATCACAAAGGGTGTCGACATGAGCATTGTCAAGGACATGTCTCGGGAGGATGTGCTTCGATACATGTGCTCTGAGCCAGTGATGGAGCAGCACAAGCAAAAGCTTAAGGATGCCTCCAAGGTGTCTTCCAAGGCTATTGCGGCTTTCCCGCCAGACTTTGCGCACATGTCCTGGCACTGGGCCCGAGACGAATTTTACTCCCAGATCCTGCGGCCGGAGAAGGGCGAGACTCACGTCAAGGGTGCAGCGGTGCCTAGCCGCAAGGTATTCATGACCTGGAACCGAAAGTACGGAGCCACACCCAAGGACTGTACGCTGTACATTCTCCGGACCCAGCATGAGGAGCCCAGCTCGCCGGCAGAGAGACAGGGTGTCGTTGAAGCGCTGGCGGCGATACTGCGTCGGGCTCGGGTAGAAGCTCACGAATGGAACGTCGACCACGTCCAGATCTGGAATCCCTCTGCGCTGGTCAAGGAGGCTATCCAGATTGCTGATCCGGACGCAGCAGAAGTCCACAGGGAGAAAGACAGCATCCCTTGTCTGAAATGGGACGGAGACAAGTTCGGGTATGGAGAGAACGTCGACTGGATGTGGAATGAAAGATATGGCTGGTGCTGAGCTGGCAATTTGACCTGACTTTTGGTTGATATGCACGAGACGAGATCTTCATTTCTTGCTTTCTCTCTTTGACGGCCGATTCTAATTCTGACGGAACGAATTCTAAAGCCTGGGCTGGTGATTGATGATGAAATGATCAGGGCCACTGCGTTTGTGTCAGTTTGGCCCTCCTTTCTGGCTGTTGCTGCTGTTGTTTCCATAAATTCTGCTCATCACACACGACGGGAGCGGATGTATCGAAAGATACCAGGGGCGGGCGGCTCAATA